GTTATTTGGAACACCGGTACCAAGTGATATTTTTTGGAACTTTTTCATTCTCCTACTGGTACTTTTTGAGTTTTCTATGATATTGAAATCGTAACATGAAATTAATAATAAAGGGATTTTTCGGTACTTTTTCGTTCTACACAGGTACTTATTTGAATTTTCTTTAAAATTAAACCTAGAAACATTAATTAAGCATGTAGAGCCCGGAGTAAATGAGAATCTATAAAAGGGACTTATTGGTACTTTATCGTACTTCGACTGGTACTTTTTTGAGTTTTCTATTAAATTGAACCTAGAAACATGAAATTAAGCATGCAGAGCCAAGAGGAAGTGAGAACGTATAAACGGGAAGTTTTTGGTACTTTTTCGTTCTTCAAAAGGTACTTTTTGTGTTTTTTATAATATTGATCCTAGAATCATATAATCAAGCATGTGGAGCCCGGAGTAAGTGAGAACATATATAAGGCGACTCTTTGGTACTTTTTGGTTCGACTGGTACTTTCTGAGTTTTCTATAAAATTTAACCTAGAAACATGAAATTAAGCAAGTAGAGCCCTGAGAAAATGAGTATCTGTAAAAGGAGACTTATTGGAACTTTATCGTACTTCGACTGATATTTTTTTGAGTTTTTTATTAAATTGAACCTTAAATTGTAATTAAGCACGTGGAGCCCGGAGTAAATGAGAATCCATAAAAGGGGGCTTTTTTGTACATTTTGTTCTTCAACTTTTGAATTTTCTATAATATTAAACCTAGAAACATGATTTTGAGCATCCAAGCAAAATCTTTACATACCTCGTAAGCCAGAAAGTAACATTGAAAACAAGTAGAAACTACTTACTTTTGGGGGGCATATCTACTTATTTTTGTTCGACGTTGACCAACAAATACGTAGTTACCTAAAAGCATTAAGTATGTCGTTACCAATTTACTTACAGAAACCCTGCGAATAATGGGTTATTTAGTTAGTTGCAAATTGTTAAGGAATAATTATTTATAAATCTACATACTAAAAACGAAGAAATTATAACAATCGTATTCTGATCGTAATTACAAAAATAAAAATAAAATTTTCCCCAGCAGGGATTTGTTTACTCAATGCTCCATTAACTACTTGTTTTATTGTAACTTTGTGAACAGTTTTACAAAAATATAAATCAATGTCATTTCGAAAAAAAAAAAAAAAATTGGAATCAAGCAGTGCTCGAACCACCGACCTCTTGTTTGTTAAATAGACGCGCTATTCAATTGGGCTATATATAACATATCCAAATTACTTTCGAAGTGGACATGTACACTAACAGAATACGGTACATTATATTTGTTCGTGATGTGCATAAACATTAAAAACAAGGTACAGTACACTCCATGTGCGCTAAGTTTAAAGTATTTTTAGCGTATTTTTAGTGCACTTTTTATACCCTCCACCACCATCAGTGGTGATAGAGGGTATATATAAGTTTGTCATTCCGTGTGTAACATCAAGAAATATTCATCTGAGACCCAACAATGTATATATATTCTCGGTCATTATGAAATTCTGAGTCGATTTAGCTATGTCCGTCTGTCCGTCCGTCTGTCTGTGCAAAACACGCTCACGTTAAAACAAAGCAATGGAAATTAACGAAATTCACCAAAAATATTCATTATTATACGGTACAGTTTGGTATTGAAAATGAGCAAAATCGGTTCACAACGGGAAAAGTTATGAATAAAAATTTAAAACAACTCCGAAAAAAATAAACGTTTTTTATACATTCTGATGTAATTTTCTCGAAAACTATGAAAGATAATTTCATAAAAGTCATCATACATTCGTTTCCACACAAGATCTTGATTCCTGCTGAAAATTGCCAGAATCGGTCCATAATTTCATATACCTCCCATACAAAAGTACATATTCCCGGAAAATTAGTTTTTTGTTAATAACTTCCGTCAGAATACCGATATCTTCACAAAATTTTACAACTTAAAATCTTATGTCAATAGAATTCATTGAGAGAAAAAATTTTCTGGATGGGTCCATAATTGGACATTGCTCCCATACAAGGTCCTCTCCCGAAAATCACTTAAACGCGCATAACTCATTACTAAATTAAGATATCCATATAAAATTTGGTACAAGTATTGCTCATATGCACAGAAATATTACTGTGAATGTTTTTCCGATCGGTCTATAATTGGTCATATCTCCCATACTAGGTCCTGCCCCTAAAAGTACTTTAACCGTATTTAACTAATTGTATTATCAATTTGTGTAGAACAAAATTATATATATGTTTTTTTAGAAAATCCTTAAATCTTTCACACACATGCATACATGCACATTATTAAATATCGTTAAAGCATATTTTAGGGCGCTATAAAAATATAAAAGAAAATGTCAGTTCGAAAACATTTTAATATAATGATATATCTATACACGGAAAATATTCATGTCGAATTTTATCCGGATATTATCATTTAATAACGAATTAAGTTAGGTTAGGTTACGTGGGTTGCTCGCTAGCAAGCGAGTTCACTCGGAGGCCTAGTGGCCCATTGTGATACCCTTAGAATTACCATTCCCTAACGATGAGAGAATGGTTACCCTCCCTAATTTCGTTGACTACTTGGTTAGTTCGGTCTCCATGTAAACCAGCCGGTGCTTTTAATAAAACCGATCATGTTTATCAGTGACTTGTCTCTGAGACAGTGTGATCATGGAAAAGAGCTCTACCGATATAGAGTAGTCTGTGCTCTTGTAAGGCTGGACAGTTACATAGAAGGTGTTGTACCTATGTAGCTATGATTTGGGTAGCCCATACGTTCTGACATATGTCCAATCAAACAGTGCCTAGTAATTATACCAGTTAGAAGCCTAATCGAATTCTTATCAAGAGATAAGAGAGTCCCAGTCCTATCTGTTGTCAGAGTGGGCCAGAGCAGTCTCGATATTCTACAAGTGATGATATTTGACCACCTGAGTTCCGTCTCACTCAGAGCCCATTCATGTATCAGTATTGATAGGGTCGTCAGGGGAGCGTGAATATCCTTTTGCGCAATGGTTAAGTCCAGAGACGACCCTTTGGTTGCGCATTCATTAGATATTTCATTTCCCCGCAAGATCATCTCCTCCAGAAGTAACCATCTGTCCGTAGTCATTTTCCCATCGGGATGACTACGGTCTATAATGGCTACTTGCAGCTCAGGTGCTGATGTTAAGCTAGTTGATGGCTTCAACCGCTTACCCTCAGACACCTGCGTTTCACCTGACCTTTGCCGCTTTATACTAGGCCTGCTTGCTGGACCTTTGGTGACCGTCGCTGTACCTCGAGAAGAGGAAGATGCAGACAGTCCCTTGGCTGTTGTTCTAGCAGACTTTGTCATGCCGCATTGATCATCACCTCTCTTTGGTCCCAACGTGGCCTTCTTCGTTGAAGATGGCTGTACGTTAGGATTCTCCGAGACGGTGATCGTGTTCGGTCCAGTGCTGGCATGGGGCACAAGTTTAGATGTGGTCACATGCCTGCTCTGGTTTGGTATTTTATACCTCTACCACAGGCGCAGACCAGGATGCCGCTCAAAGTTACGGTTATGTTGCCTAGGTAACCCAAACCACAGTCCCGGACCGACATCAAAAAAGAAGGGGGGATTTGGTAGCCGCCCTAACTAAGGGAACAGACGCTACCAATTTGAGGTCGTGATCGCTAGGCGACCGAAGATGGTCATTGCCTCACAGCCGCTCTTAATATAGAGGACAGACGCTGTGAGGTATGGGGAGGGTAGTTCTTAGTTCACATCCTTAGGATGGCTTAAGCATCCGTGCCCGAAGACTCAAGGTGACTACCCGCAGCAGAAGACGAATTAAGTGGTATTGAGTGATTTTCAGAAGTAAACCTTGTATGGGAGCTAAGACAACTTATGGACCGATAAGCTCACAAAACATATTCAGGTCGTACTTTATCCCGATAGCTTTATTATTCAAAGAAATATATGCGTTTAAGTGATTTTCGTAAGTGGACCTTATATGGGAGACTATCCGGAAAAAATTTCGTAGATTTGTAACGACACGTTTCCGCTTTAGGCTGGGGTATACTCGCCGGTGCCAGGGGTCGGCACAAAAATTTATTTTTTTGCGGGTTTGTGAAAAGTATAGAGTGTACACAACCGAATTCAAAACACGTTATAAACTTTATTTTCTCTTAAATTAACTCTTAAGCGACTTTCTTTCTAGCAAATCGCTCTTCGCCACCGCAAATGTTTTGTTAGCGGTCTAACCACCGTACAAACGATTTGGATGCTTACCGACAGTGCATCAATAGGCAAGGGCACCGAAGCGGTATAACCACCAGACGCTCTTGCTTCTCGATAGCTCTGGGTGTAGGGCTACAAATATAATTAGGCAAGTACAACAAAGCGGTTTAACCACCAGATGTACCTGCTTCACAATATATCTCTGCTGTGCCACAGAGTATTGATTAGCTAGAACAATGAATCGGTATAACCATCATGCGATCTAGCTTTTCAATTATTCTGTATGTTGGGCTAGTGAAGATTATTAGGCAAGAACAACGAAGTGGTATAACCACCAGATATTCTTACTTCACAATCTTTAACCTCTTAAATCAAATCAATTGCAGTCGGTTTAACCACCGTACAATGATTTCGCTTATTGCCGACAGTGCTTAATAAGCAAGTACAACGAAGCGGTTTAACCACCAGAAGTACCTGTTTCTTAATGGCTCTGTGTTTAGGGCTAGTGAATATTGCCAGGCGGAAACAACGAAGCGGTCTGACCACCAGATATTCGTGCTTCACAATATTTCACTCATGGCGAAACTAATATGGTGAAGTCATTTCAACAGCTGATTGTTTTTTTTGTTCATGGAAATTTAGCCCGACGCTGTCAAACTCCATATATAACAAATTTAATGAATTCGCTGCAATCTATTCGCCTTGATTTCACTCTATAAGATTAATCAAATGCAGGCGGTCTAACCACCAAACAATGATTAGTCTTACCTAAGCGAAAGCTGGGCGCAGACTGCCTTTCTTGTGCAATGCAGTTCAGCTAATTTGTCCTGTAGTTCTTGGGGTACCTCTTCTAAACCTTCGATTTTCTCGAAAACGCTAAGCTTGTTTAAAAGTGTTGATGGTTCTTCTTCACTTACAAGGCTCTGTGATGTGGTGTTCTCGTAACTGTCATCTTTGCGGATGTTAGGGGTTGTACTAGTGGGTGTGTATGATGATGGAGATGTAGCTGGAGGTTGTGTTGGTAATGAAGGTGATGGTGATGATTTTGTTGATGAAGAAGGTGGTGATGAAGAAGAAAATGATGATGAAGAAGATGATGTTGAAGAAGATGATGGAGAAGAAGATGATGGAGAAGAAGATGATGTAGAAGAAGATGATGAAGAAGAAGATTTTGTTGATGATAACAGAGATGGCTTTTCTATTATTGGTTGGTTTGTTGAAGTTAATTTATCGGTATTTATAAGTGGCGATTGTTTGGGTGTAAAATATAAAATGTAGGTAGAATCTGATTTGGTTGAGCTCTTCGAGGATAGATTTATGGAAAACATATCTGGGAATGCAAATAAGCTGATGTAAGGGGTAGCACGTGACGTCTGTTCGGATGTAGTTTTAGACAATGTCGTCAAACACTCGAATTGGTTGCAAGTGTTGGTGGGAAGGGGTGATACTTCTATCCATGATGTATTAGATGATGGAGATATATCATTTTTTTGTGAACTTTGACAACAACCTTCAATTGGAACTTCAGTCTTTGGGTATTTCTGGCTTACCCAGAAACGATATGTGATTGTCCTTTGAAATCCAATATGACCACAAAAGTCATGGCATCGGCTCTCATCCACATCAATGGTGAACCATCCTCTTCCGTTACGTGTGGATGTACTATTTTTCGTTGGTGATGGTTGTCTTATATCGACAGTCGTATCAAACGCACCGAATGTTGTTCTAAATGTTTCTTCCATCTCATCAAAGTCTATTGGGTTGGAGCTTTGTGGTGTTTCTACGCCATCGTCACTGTTTGACTCAATGTCCTCATTATGGCTTGGGGGTGAATATCTGTCAAATGAATTTCTTCCTGGAGTTGGTGCTAGTTCGTGCTCGACGTAGGTTGGGCTGAACCACGGGATCTCATCAAATTCACTATCTTCGATCTCTTGGTTTGGGATCAAATTTTCAAAATTATTTCCTGGTGTAGGAGGCAGCATATATTCCATCTCTTCTTTCGCTGGAGTGTTGGTGACGTCTATAAATGGTACATCGTTCTTCATCTGACAACAAGTCAATTGTGTCTCCGTCTCTAAGAAATGATGCAATAGTTGGAAGTGTTTTTGTTGTTGATGTTTTAATTGGCTGCACTCAACCGATAAAAAGTGGTTGTTTTTCTTTGTGGTTTTGTATTGTTGTTGATTTTACTCTTTTTGCTGGTGGTTGGAATATCATCATCAATAAAGACAGCTCTTCTTCTTTTATTATTTTCTTCCTCAACTTTTGGGATGTCGCCTCGAATCTCTCTTCAGTATTCATTTTTTTTTCTTTATTATTTCTAGTTTTATTTCTGTAAAATAGTTAAACAGAAAATAAAATGTAATTAGTACTAAGAATTGTTAATTTACAAAAGGTTTAATTTCGCTTATGTGAACATTTCTTAAAGTTTTGTTTCTCAAATCTTCTATCTTCAGTATAACTGGTGATATAAAAGATTTCACAATATACGGGCCCCCAAACTTTGAAGCTAACTTTGCAGCGAAGCTGTCTACCGCTTTGGAAAGAGGATGTTGTCTGATTACAACAAGGTCGCCTATTTTTGGTTTCCATACACGCCTTCTCAAATTGTAATAACGCTTTTAATCTTCGGATGCTTTGGCCAAATTTCTTTTTACAATTTCGAAAACTTCTTTCAATTCATCATGGCGTTCTTCTGGACTCAATCTGGTTGCACCTGTGCCAATCGTGACTTCGTCATATAATGTTTTATGTAGCCTTGGCTCTCTTCCTTGGGTGATAAATGCTGGTGAATAACCGGTGGTGTCTGATACACTTGTGTTCATGGCTAGCATTATTTCTGGTAAAAGTTCATCCCATCTACTGTGTTTTTCACTCGAGAACTGAGCAATCATTGTTTTTATAGTACGATTGGCTCGTTCTGTTGGGTTCTCCTGAAGAGTATATGGTGCTGTAAACTGTTGTTGGATTCCTAGTTCATTTAATAAATGTTTTAAAATTCTGGAGGTAAACTGGGTGCCATTATCCGTGATTAGGATTTTCGGGACCACATATCTTGCAAGTATCCGTTCACGAAATGCTTTAGTGTATAGTGTATAGAGTATATGGTGCTGTAAACTGTTGTTGGATTCCTAGTTCATTTAATAAATGTTTTAAAATTCTGGAGGTAAACTGGGTGCCATTATCCGTGATTAGGATTTTCGGGACCACATATCTTGCAAGTATCCGTTCACGAAATGCTTTAGTGACTCCTTCTGCTGCGGCCTTTCTTATTGGCACTAACTCTGTCCACTTAGAGAATTTATCGAAGAATACTATTAACATTGTATTGCCGTGTTTAGCAAATGACAGACCAGGGTTTGTCTGGTATTTTGGTTAACATTTCTCCGGCCGGCTTCTATTGGATTAGTTTATACCTTTGGCAGGACTGACAACGACGAACATAACGGACAACATCTCTGCTCAAGCCAGGCCAATAATAACGACTGGCAATGCGGTTAATAGTTTTCCTTATCCCCAAATGTCCAGCAGCAGCACTATCATGATTTTCTTCTAATACGAGCGTTCTGCAGGATGTGGGTACACATAACATCCATGGATTGTCTTCGGTATTTGTTGTACTTCGTTGAAAACGTCTATATAGTTGATTATCAATTATAGTGTAATCCGGATATTTTGCTGAGTTTTGTTTTATCTTGTAGATAAGTTTCCGGATCCAATTACAATCCGGGGTTTTTGATTCTGTACAATTTGCTATGTTGGCAGTTTCTATGGGGTGACGCGATAACGCATCTGCGACGACGTTATGTTTTCCTTACGATATCGTGCCGAAAAATTAAATTAAATCGAGTGCCCATCGTGCTAATCTTCCTGTAGGACTTTCAATCGAATTAAGCCATTTGAGCGCCAGGTGGTCTGTTATTACAATAAAATTATACCCTTCAAGGTAAGCTCGCATTTTTCTTATGCCCAAATTATGCCAAACATTCTTTTTCTGTTGTTGAATAATTCTTTTCTGCTACATTTAGATGGCGACTAGCATAAGCTATTACACGTTCTTCTCTGTTGACTTCTTGAGCTAGCACTGCACCGTGTCCATAATCACTCGCATTGGTTTGCAAACTAAAAGTTTTTGTAAAATCTGGACACCCTAAAACTGGTGCTTCTGTAAGTTTGGTTTTAAGTGATTCAAAAGACTGTTGCTGTTTTCCTTTCTTAAGCAATTGTGTTAGGGGTTGAGATATTTTTGAAAAAGTCTCACATCTCGAATGTTCTTTGGTGTTGGTATTTGAGCAATTTGCATCTACTTTATCAGGATCAGTTTTTATTCCATCTACGCTCACAACATGTCCTAAATATTTTGTTTCACGTTTAAAAAATTTGCATTTATCCACATTTATTTTAAGGCTTGCTTTCCTTAATCTACGGAAAACTTCTCTTAAGTTTTGTAGATGCTCTGAAAGGGATTTACCAATCACAATAATATCGTCTAGATATGCAAATGCAAGTGGTTCCATGTCAGCTCCTATTACGGTATCCAATGCTCGCTGAAAAGTTGCTGGTGCTGAATGCAAACCGAATAGCATCACTTGCCATTGGTATAATCCTCGACCTGGGACTGCAAACGCTGTATACTTTTTACTATTTTCATCCATCGGGATTTGCCAATATCCATTCTTAAGATCAAGACTGCTAATATACTTGGCATCACGTAATCGATTCAAAATACTATCAATACGGGGTAAAGGATATGCATCTGGTACTGACCTGAGGTTTAACTGTCTGAAATCCATACATGTTCTCCACGAACCGTCCTTCTTTTTAACTAGGGTAATTGGGAAGCTGTATGGGCTCTTGGATGGCTCTATGCAACCTTGTGCGATCAAATGATTGATTTCCGCATCCACTATTTGCTGCATTGCTGGATTTCTAGAACAATAACTAATTTTTATTGGGCGAGGATCGGTAATAATAATTTTGTGTGTTGTGATTGTAGATAATCCATGCAGTTCTTGAAATTTAGGTAACTCAGTTTCTAAAAATGTGTTGATGATTCGTTGGTCTTCTTCATTTATTACGGGATTTACATTTCATTCTGGGTCTGCGGCTTCATCTACTGTATTAAGTTTAGCATCTATTTTAGAACAATCTAAAGTTAAACCGGCCATTTGAATTTTGGTATCAAAAATACGTAAGAAATCCATTTCTATGATGACTTCTTCACTAGTTTCTGGCATTACCAGGAAACGACATTTTTTTGTGAATTTTCCTAAGGTGACTTCAAACTCTACGGCTTTTGAGATTGTATTGGTAGAACCATCTGCTAATATAACATCGATTTCTTCGTTTATATACAATGGTTTATTTGATACAGTTTTAACATAATCTTTTCGCATAAAACTTCTACTGGCTCCGGTATCAATTGTTGCTTTTAGTAATTTTCCATTAATAAATAACGATGCGCTTAAACGGGTATCTTCACTATGTAAACTGGTTCTATTTGTTATGGGCTTCTTTCTTTGTTCTTCATTTATCTAATGGTTATACTTTTTGAGGGTTATACTTTTTGAGGGTTTCTTTCTTGGAATTCAGAAGGCCTCCGGGTACGTTTCCCGAACGATTTCTCTCTTCATTAGGACAACTTGATGCAAAATTACCATAATTTCCACATCGATAACAATTATTTTGTTGTCCATGGCGTGTGTTGTTAGACATTATTCGTGGATTTTCCATTAGTGATGTTGAGGCCGTAATTGAGATACTCTCTAGGACTTCCGCTAACGATATCAATTCTGCTAATGATGAAAAATCTTTTCTCCGAATGTAAAGTTGATAGTCTGGAAGGGCATTTCGAAATATTCTTTCTAGTTTTTGTTCCTCTGACAAATTTGCATGCATCAAATTTTGAATAGCTAATACATAAGTTTTAAAGTTTTCCCTAGATCGTTGAACTCTCTTTCGAATATCGTCCTCTAATTTTTCAAAATATCTTGCAGGGAGAAAGAAGAAAGTCACTTTTAAAAGAGTTCCATACTTGCCAACGTTTATTATTGTTTCTGAACCATACGAGGGCATTTTCTTGTAAGAATTCTGGCATAATTCTTGGTAACTGGTCTAATTGTATTTCATAGATTTCAGCGAGTTCTTCTATACGCTCGACAAATGCTATGGGCTCACGACCTTCATCGTATGAAAGGCCCCATTTTCTGACGTGCTCAATTAAATTTGGCTTTAATTCGTTTGATGTACGGGATGGAACTGGTATTGCATATTTATTTTCCATTTTAACTGGTGACGGTGTTGATACATTTCTTGTGGTTGGTATTGATAGAGTATTTGACACATCATATTTTTCTTGAATCTCCAATAAACGTTGTATTTTTAGGCAGTGACCATGATGCTGATCATGGTCAATGCCTAAAAATTTCGCGAGTCTTCTTATTTCATCTACCGTACCGACGGTTTCTAATTTAAATTCACTTAGCAATGACACTAATTCATCGCGCTTTAACGCGTACACCCACTTGTTTTCAACATTTTTTTTTGTATATATATTTTTTTTTCGTAAAGCGACACAAAAGGGTATACTCGCCGGTGCCAGGGGTCGGTACAAAAATTTATTTTTTTTTCGAGTTTGTGAAAAGTAAAGAGTGTACACAACCGATTTCAAAACACGTTATAAACTTTATTTTCTCTTAAATTAACTCTTAAGCGACTTTCTTTCTAGCAAATCGCTCTTCGCCACCGCAAATGTTTTGTAAGCAGTCTAACCACCGTACAAACGATTTGGATGCTTAGCCGACAGTGCATCAATAGGCAAGGGCACCGAAGCGGTATAACCACCAGACGCTCTTGCTTCTCGATAGCTCTGGATGTAGGGCTACAAATATAATTAGGCAAGTACAACAAAGCGGTTTAACCACCAGATGTACCTGCTTCACAATATATCTCTGCTGCACAGTGGTATAGGAAAAAAAAAGAGGGAATAATTCGGTAACTTCTAAACGGTTAATCCGATTTTAATGAAATTTGGTATGCACAAAGA